TTTTAAAAAATAAAGTTTAACTTTAATTGATTTAATACAAAAAATTATTATATATTCAATCATGAAAAGTAAAAATGTACCTTAATAACATTAAAAAATTTTAAATTATTATATAGAATATTAAGAAAGAAAATAAATGAATACTCAATAAAACTATGAATTTAAAGTTGTTTAATTTAATAAATGAGAAAATGATTAAAAATCTCAATTTCTGATTAATTCAATTAACATAATTTCATTTTATGTAAATCATATCCTTACTTTTTGAAAATTTTTTATTTAGTTCCTATATATTTTCTCTACTTTTGAGATAGTTGTTGAAATTCATATTATAAAAACAAAATTTTTAACAAACAAAAATTAGAGTACCATATTGAATGTTTTTTAAAAGTTTAGGGGGTGGCTCCCCCGCCCCCCACCCCCCCACCCCCCACCTTGTCCTTCATTGGCTCCGTCAATCACCATCCGGTGATTTTGAACTTGGGTTCGCCGTGCTCCAGACCAACAAGATCGATTCCTCCTTGCTATTTGGTTCGCCAACATACCCGAAAAACCATAGTTTGGACTACAAATGGAGACAACCCTGTAGAGATAGAAGCCAGAGTTGAACGTACCTCCAGTGGTCTAGTGCTCATAGCTCCTTCAGGCATGGAGCTTTGGTGGACTAACCGTATCCAAGATGGCATTGGAGGAGTATCAAATGCAGCCATGCTGGTTACCGTAAACTTTGTCATCACAAGCAGGAATTCAGACATGTGGGAGAGCTTCCAAAATCCAACATATACCATCTTGCCAGGACAAGAACTAAGCCCAGACAGCATCCTTTCATCAAACTTCTCCTCTACATGCTACAAGAGGCACTACGTTCAAATCGCCATATAGCTACGCATAACAAGTGTAGCTAAATCTCTAAAAAACGTAGCTATAACCCTCTTAAGTATTATAGCTACACATAAAGATATGTTGTTCTTACAAATCCATCTAATCCATCAAACACCATACATTGATGGTATACAAAATATCTAAAGACATGGTTCCAACAAATCCACCTAATCCATCAAACACATTGATGATATACAAAATATCTAAAGACATGGCTCCAACAAATCCACCTAATCCATCAAACACCACACATTGATGATATACAAAATGTCTAAAGACATGGTTCCTTGATTCAAGGAACTATACTAATAAAATAATTAAAAAAAAAAAAAAAGAACTATACTAACAAAAAATACAACCAAACACTAACATAGAGTTATATTGCAAATGCCATTCCACCTTTGAGCATTAACAGTTTTGCTGAGCAAGAGCATGAAAAGCTGAAAAAGCCTGAAGTGCTACCGTTATTTGGAAGTCACATGTAGGTATATATTGATAAAAGAACTACCTTTATTAGTTATAATTTTCGTTCATGGAAACTCGGGGTTTATGTTGGATGAATCTTGAGGCTTGCAACTATATAAGAAAGGACATGGAGGAGCAGGAACCAAGAGAGCACCTTCAAGCATCATGGTAACCGTTCTCATTTTAGGCCTTTGTGATGGCTCATCTTGCAAACACCACATTGCCACCTTCACCAGCATCTCCACCCTCCCCATATCACTTCTTGCTTCTTCATCATTTTCCACCAACTTCCCTAGATTGCCTTCATTGTAGTAGTCATATGCCCATTCTATCAGGATTGCTGCCTCCTCCATCTCAAGCTCAACACATCTTCTGCAACAAACGATCTCCAGCAACATAACTCCGAAGCTATACACATCTACCTTCACCGTGACAGGGGTACTCCTGAACCACTCCGGCGCCACATACCCTTTCGTTCCCCTGATGACTGTCAATGTATGGCTCTTGCTGTTAATCAAAAGTTTCGCCAATCCAAAATCTGAGATTTTTGCTGTGAAAGAGTCATCTAGGAGAATATTCTGAGGCTTTATGTCGCAGTGAATGATCTGAGTGCTGCATTCTTCATGCAGATATGTTAGTCCTCTTGCAATTCCGGATGCAATCTGCAGTCTCTGTTGCCAACTAGGCCTCAGAACTCCGAACAAGAAGCTCGCCAGAGATCCGTTCTGCATCAACTCATACACAAGAAGCCGGTGCTCAGCCTCATCACAGTATCCAAGCAGTCTAACCAGATTCCGATGGTGAGTTTGTCCAATCACATTCACTTCTGTCTTGAATTCCTTTTCCCCTTCCTGAACAACCTTGTCTAGTTTTTTCACAGCAACGTAATTCCTGGACAATTCTCCTTTATAAACAGTTCCAAAAGAACCCTTTCCCAGTTCTTCCTTGAATCCTTTTGTGGCATCTTCGAGTTCTTCGTATGTGAAGGAACGCAGATTTGTCTCAATCTCTCCTTTCCTATTGATCCTCTTCAGATCCTGAAGCTTTCTTTGGTAGAAACAAAAGAGAAGCAAGGAAACCACAATCAAAGTAAAGATGTTGAAAAATGCTGATGTGCCTAAGAGGACTGAGAGAATGAGAACGACCTGATTCTGCTTTTTTTTGCCTGGATTTAGATTGGGAGGGCGCAACGGAGATTCACCTAATTTCGGTACCTTGATAAGTACTATTCTGTCATTTCTGCTTTTGTTGTACCACCCATTTGAAAGCGGTAGTTTCTTCTTCCAACAGTTTCCAATGCCATTGTTCAGCGACGGATCTTCCAAGCTGGCTACTGCACAGTTACAGTCAAGAAGGCAAGACCTTCTGCATTCTGTCTCATTTACAGGCTGCAGGAGTTCGTAGTCACCATAGGGCCAATCTACAAATGGCATTGAATTGAATTCAAAACTATCCTCCCCAATAGTAAAGCCTTCTTCGTTACAGTCTCCTAGGTAGCTTTGGTTATTTGGCTTGCATCCCAAGTGCTTATTCACTGCATCCAGGAAAGAAAACCCAGGTGGGCACTGGCAATTAACCATTCCATCTGGGTCTTGTTGACAAATACTGTTGAAACCACAAGGCCCAATTCCAAGTCCAGGATTTGGACCCGTGAAGCTGTAGCAGATATCTCCAGGTATATACCACAAGGATGACCAACCTTCATCTCCATTTCCGGAGTGAGAATACAGGGTGAAAACCCCATCAAAGTCAAGTGTAGCCCTATAGTAAAAATTCTGTATTGGGACTGTATTTTCTGGTGCTATGTGGACAACACTTCCATTTGATTTCTTGATCTGGATATGCCCAGATTTGTTGAAGATCAATCCAGAACCATCTGCGATGTTGAAATAAAATTGGAAAGATCTTCCGGTGTAGACATCTATTCGATTGAGGCCTAGAGATTCAGAGGTGAAACGGAGTTGAAATCTCCCCTTCTTGTAGCTTCTTGCAGAGAAGGCCGATGAAAGTGTGCTGTTTATTCCTAGTTCTTGCCCTGGCAATATGGTGTCTGTTGGATTTTGGAAGCTCTCCCATATGTTGTCTGAATTCGTGCTTGTGATGACAAAATTTCCAGTATCCAGCATGGCTGCATGGGATACTCCTCCAGTGCCATCTTGGTTGCTCTTAGTCCGCCAAAGCTCTCTGCCAGAGGGATCACTGAGCACTAGACCACTTGAGGTAAGGTTAACTTTGGATTCTTTCTCTACAGGGTTGTCTCCATTCGCAGACCAAACTATGGTTTTCTCGGGTACGTTGGCAAACCAGATAGCAAGGAGGAATCGATCTTGTTGGTCTGGAGTATGGCGAAAGCCAATTTCAAAATCATCTGATGGTGATTGCCATGTAAGGTTTTGATCATTGGCAGTAAGAAAATCACCCACGCTTACATTGCGGGAAGCACCTTGAGCTGCAGCTGCAAGAACCAAGAAACTACTAAGAAGGATGAGCAATGGATTCCGAAAAAGTGCTAGAGATGACATCATAGAATCAGATGAACTTTTATAAGAAGTGATTGTAAATCATAAATCCCTAGATAAACTTTGGGAGTTTCCTGATTTTCTGAGGTATTTAGAGAAGCTAATCTGCCCTGTTTCAACACGGCAATCGCTTTGACTGATTGCACAACTGTTTTAAAGTTTGAACCGGAAAGCAAAGAAAGATGACTTGTTGTTCAACAGTCCAAAACTGTCACCATCCCTGAAAGTGTTTCTCAACTTCGTCAATAAATTCATTAGCGTGTTTGCTCATCACTATGTGCGCCGTGGTTACGCTTCTCCTCGAGAACTAAAGTGGGAGTACTCTTGAAGACATATGTAGTTCAAGTTTTAGGTTTGATATTTGTTCATCCCTTTAAGAACAGATATTAACTATATTAATGTAATTTTTACTGTCAAACAAAAATTCATTAGCCTATTTTTGAGCCAGAAGCTTCATGTGCTTTTGGTCTAGTTTCTGTCGGGCCCAGCTCAATCCAAATTCTTCCAAGTTTCAATTTCAAATATTTGGTGAGACAAGACGACTTGATTTATTGAACGCAAAGCAGCACGGTAAGAACTAAGAAGGATAATCTTGTTTGAATATTCAAATTTCAAAGACTTTCAAAACTATAAAGGTTGGTCAAATAATTTTTTACTAACTTCTAGATTTTACACTAATGTTTACTGTTAAAACTTCTTTGATAAATTTTGAGGTATCAATTTCTTAAGATTATTTTTTAATGAACTTTGATCGAAACTTTTTGCCAAAAAAATAGTTTTTTTTATATTTAAAGAATACTTTTACAAAAATTTCAGCTAAGTAAAAGGAAAAAATGTCACCTAGTCCTCTCCATCTCTCTCTTGGCTCCGGTTGAAGAAAGGAATAAGATGGTAATTACAACTTAAAAACTTTTAACTTTTGTGTGACCTTAACACATTGTCCTGTTGCAGTATCTGACTCACAAACTATAAACTGTAGCTAATAAAGATCTATACTTATAAAATTTTGAACATAGGTTAAAAAAAAAAAAAAAAAAAAGGGAGGTATTCGGTAAAATTGCTGTAGTGTGGGACTGTATTTTCTGATGCAATTTTGAGGTATACGGTAAACTTCTATCACTTGTAGGTGATAGAAGTTTAGGAAAAAAAGCAAGACACGAGAAAGACCAACTTAAAATTCTGAGAGGAATTTGAGATGAAGCCAAGACAGTGAAAAGGAAAGATGAGAGAAGGGCCAAAGAAACATGTAGACCATGTAACGTAGATAAGGTTGAGATAGGGCATACT